CCCCAAAACCCCAAAACCCCAAAACCCCAAAACCCCGTAAAGTGGAGTAAAGAATAATACAGAAAGAAATATCTTTTAAATCGTATAAAATCTAAGAGGGTAATGTACAAAAGTCTGGGTATTATTTATAAGTAAATATTAGCAGTAAGTCCTTATAATTATTACAATGGATTACAATAAAATCAATGCCTCAGATGATACTATGTCTGTGTTTTCTTCTCCCTAGTACAGCAGCAGTAAGAAGAGTCTGTCAGAAACAGAAGGACTGACCTATGATCAAGCTATTGATAGAGCAGGAGGGTTCGGTAATTAAATCTAAACATAATATGTCAATTTTAGGGTTATTTTAGATTTTCTCGACATCAATGATAATGATCTGCTACCTTTCAAATGGATATATATTCTACTCGCTGACCTATTTAGAATTGTTCCCTGACTACATCTGCCCTGCCTACAATAAGAAGTGCACCTACAAAGATCGTTGCGATGATAAAAGTATCCCCATTGATTGGAGTTCAGACAGATCTCTAGATAACTGGGTTGCACTCTACAATCTTGAATGTAACTTGAGAAATTACTAATACATTGATAGGTGCTGACTCAGTATAGATTGGGCTACTTGGTTCAATGTACTTTGCTGGGTGGTGTATTGCTTGCATCGTAGTACCAAGACTTGGAGATATCTATGGGCGCCGACTTCCCTGCAGAATCAGTGCAATAATTGCATGTGCTGTTTATTTGACAATTGTTTTATCTAAAAACCTAAATCTGACTATTGCTATGTTTTTCTTCCTAGGAAGTACACAACCAGGCAAGTCCAACATCGCCTATATCTACATGCTCGAACTCATCCCCTCTAAGTTCGGAACATATGTAATCATAGAATAAGTAATTGTATTTAGTTGTCAACTTTGGCTTGCATCGCTGACGGCTTCACGACTATTTTGATATCGCTTTATTTCAGATTCGTATCTATAAACTGGATCTATTTCCAAATCTTTGGACTATCTATGACATTTGTATCTTGCTTTGCACTGTTTTTCTTGCCTGAATCCCCTAAGTATCTCTGGAGTGCTAAGAAATTTAAAGAGGCAAGAGAGAGTCTAGCTTTCATTGCAAAGTTTAATAAAAAGACATCTTTCACTAAGAAATTTAAGTTCGAAACTGAGATCTAGGATGAAATGGTTGATAGGAAAAGAATCAGCATATCATTCAGCTCATCTAATAATTAGGATGTGTCAAGATTACTGGAGAAGCTAAATCTAGACAATTCTAATACATTTGAGGCTTATCCTATTGAAGGAGATCAGTTGAGTTTATCAGAGAAGAAAAATCAAGTTGAACCAGGTAGTCCAACTTCAGTGGGAGCAGCTAGCAACGTAGCTTAAAAAGAAAAAGCGCCAAGTGGAGCAATTAAAGAGCTATTTTAAAACAGAGTTTACCGAACTAATTTGCTAGTCCTGTTGGTGCTTTGGGTAGTAGCTTCCTCAGACTATTTCCTAATCAATTTCCAAATGAAGTACATCGAAGGTGACATTTATACCAACACTATTGTCTCTTCTATCTCAGAAATCATCTCATATTTGGTCACAGGAGCATTGTATGATACGATTGGCCCTAAGGTTTCATTCACAGTATCCTTTGCAATTGCTGTGATAGGCTCAATTTTCTATGTGCTGTTTGGAGAGAGTCATAAAAATCTGATAACAGTGATGATCCTTGGCTCCAAGTTTGGTATTAGTGGAGCATTCAATCTGGTGTATATAGCTATGTCTCTCTTCCCACCTCTCTATTCATCTACTGTATTTGGAATATTCAATGTCTTTGCTAGATTGGCTTCGATGCTGGCACCTTAGTTCGCTGAGTTCAAGGAGCCCGTACCGATGATAATATTCTGTATAATGGCAGGTGTCGCTGGAGTAGTCTCCTTCTTTATCATAGGCCCAACTTACAAAGATAGAAAGAGGAAAGTCAAAAAGCCAAAGCAGAGTAATGATAACTGAGAATACGCTATCAAATAAACTAATAAATACATAAATATAAGCAGAGGCAGGAATTAGCAAAGCCAGTTTGTCTCTATAAACCATCAAATCTAATTTCACTTAAATCTAATTGAATTAATGAACTGTGAGTATAATCTTCGTAAAGGGGTTTTGGGGTTTTGGGG